AGGGTGTTCGTGGGTGTGGGGGGGTTGTGGCGGTGTGTGTGTGAGGGGGGGGGGGGTGTGTGGAAGGGGGGCTTCTGAGGGTGTTTGTGGGTGTGTGGGGGCTGTAGGGGTGTGTGTGTGAGGGGTGTGTGTGAGGGTGTTTGTGGGTGTGTGCGGGTTGGGTTGGGTGTGTGAGGAGTGTGTGTAAGGGGGTGTGTGAGGGTGTTTGTGGGTGTGTGCGGGTTGTAGGGGTGTGTGTGTGAGGGGTGTGTGTGTGAGGGTGTTTGTGGGTGTGAGGGTTGTAGGGGTGTGTGAGAGGAGTGTGGGTGTGTGTAGGGGGTGTGTGTGGGTGTTTGGGGGTGTGTGAGGGTTGTAGGGGTGTGTGTGTGAGGAGTGTGTGTAAGGGGTGTGTGTGAGGGTGTGGGTGTGTGGGGGTTGGGTTGGGTGTGTGAGGAGTGTGTGTGTGAGGGGGGGTTGTGAGGGTGTTTGTGGGTGTGAAGGTTGTAGGGGTGTGTGTTTGTAAGGGGGGGTCTGTGAGGGTGTTCGTGGGTGTGTGGGGGTTGTAGGGGTGTGTGTGCGCCTGAGGACTGTGGGGGGTGTGTGTGTGTAAGTGGGGTGTGTGAGTGTTGTAGGGGTGTGTGTGAGGAATGTAAGTGGGGTGTGTGAGGGTGTTCGTAGATGTTGAAGGCGTATACAAGGTTGTAGGGGTGTATGTGTGTGAGGAGCATGTGTATGTGTATATGTGTGTGTAAGCAGGGTGTGTGAGGGTGTTTGTAGATAGTGTGTGGGTGAGATTGTAGGGGTGTGTGTGTGAAGACTGTACAGTGTGTAAGTAGGGTGTGTGAGGGTGTTCATGGGTTTTTTGTGTTAGTGGATGGGTGTCAGTGTCAGTGTGTGTGTTAAGCATGTGGGTATGTATGTGTTGGGGTGTGTTTACGCTGTGTGTGTGAGAAGTGTGTACTGGTGTGTGTGTTGGATGTGGGGGTATATATGTGAATGGGATACGTGAGGGTGTTCATGGATGTTTGTGTGCGGGTGTGTGGCAGAGTGGGGGTGCTGGGGTGTGTGTAGGGGTGCATGTGAGGACTGTATAAGTGTGTGTGTTGGGGGTCTCTGGGGTTGTATGTGTGTATATGGGTTTATTGCGTGTGTGTGAGTGGGGTGTATGGGGGGGTTCACGGGTGTCTGGGCATGTGGGTTGTGTGAGTGTGTATCAGTGACGGTGTAGTTAGGCAGATATGTGTTGGGTGTGTGGCTGTATGTGTATGGTTCACATATTGCGTCTGGTACCTGCGGTGTTGTGTGAGTGGGGTGTGTGTGGGTGTTCAATAGGTGTGCATGGGGGGTGCGTATATGCCTGTGGCTTGTGTGGGTATGTGGGGTGAGTGTCAGTGGAGGGGAACAGGTGTGTGTATGTCGGGGGGGTGAGTGGGGTATGTGTGGGTGTTCATTTGCAGGGAGTGAGGGAAGGGGTCCCGCAGCGACTGTCCCCACCCCGTCCGCC